CTGGTATGACTTAGTACCACCACTGGTTCGAGGAATTTGTCAACTCGAAAAATATTCGTGTTCATTTTTTTCAAATGGAGGTTCATTTTCACATTTATTTGATAGTTTGGATAGTCGGATCAAGCTAAATGTTATTGAATTGTGTTTGGCCATTCGAATTACGTTTGTCCTGAAAGAATTAGAACTGTAGCTTTTCAGATGACTGAGATATGAAGCATAACGAGTTTATTCATTACGTGTGATCAGGTGATTGGTTTACCTAATCACGTGATAAGGTGACCCAGTGGCGTAACGTTGCCTGTTGGCGCCCCCCTGCCGAAAAGGCGCCCCCCTGTTGGCGCCCCTCTCCTTTTGGTGCCCCTCCCTAAAATTGAACAAATTAGGCGATTTAAGAGGATACACCGGTAAAATCCCAAAAAAAAGTGTGTATCTAGAGCAAAACGCGCAGTTTTGCTAGTACTTTAGTTAAGTTTTCGAAATTGTCCCACATTCAAACGACGATTTGGCGCCCCCCTAAGACAGCGCCCCCCTGCACAGCGGGGTCAGCAGGGCCCTTCGTTATGCCACTGAGGTGACCCCGTTAACTACCCCGTTAAACATTATGGGAATTGTTAAGGGTGCCCAATTAAGGTGTTGTGTCACGGTGTCACATAATCACCCAGTCAATTTTGTTAACGAGATACAGAAAATGCTTGATAACTTCGTCATTTCTAATCCGTTTTGCCTCATGTTTTCAGATCATATGTAACATTTGATAATCTACCGTCTCTGAAAAAATTAGGCGTTCAGCATGTTCAGAGAAAACAATATAGGTGTTTTAATATTGAATGGGCGTGGTCTAAAATATTCGAATTTTCAAATTTTAACGACGGAATCCTCGAACCATTAAGTACAGTATGCCATCTGCAAAGCAACAGCTCTCAAATATAACACACGGCGGAGCTATTAAGGCCAACGTATGGGTACTGACTTTTGGCCCACCCTGTAGTATAGAAGCATTTACAATTATATACTAACATTTATACCAATTTTAGCCTGAAGATGGCGTTGACGCCGAAAATTTGCCTTTACTCCTAACTTCCTTGTTTCATTCGTCCTTGTCTCTTCAAACTGGATAATATCCAGATATCAGTATTTTTAATAATTTGTAAGTCCACTATTACACGCATTGATTCGATTTGATTTTAATCTCAAAAATGGTGTAAAGTTTTAATATGACGTTGAATTAAAACTATTGCCTAAGCTTAAGAATGCTTGTTTGAGAAACTAAGCAATATTTTTTTTGTTAGTCGGCCGACATGTCTTAGATTGTACTGGACCTAACAAGTTTATTATCGGATGTCTACTTATATTTATAATGATATCGTAACTATTCATTGTAATGGCAATAAAATTTAAATTTTGTTTTACTAAAATTGTATTTTAATTAAATGGTGCGCCGGTGGCCGGGTGAAGTATAATTTTTTTTGTCTTTGACGCAAATTATAAAACCATTTTTATTTTGGTCTTTTTGATTTACATATGTAATAATAATGGTCAGTTCAAAGGTAAACATTTTAACTGTCAACTTATAATGTTAATTGAAGTTACCAAGACGCGCGCCGAGTTGAACCAGTCCAATTTAATTGCATGAAATGTCGAAATAATTGATAAAACAAGATTGCAACATTGACTTGATATGATTAACGTTGCATTTCTCTTTTCACGTGTACAAAAAGATATCGTCGTGTTTAAAAAAAGTGCGTATATGAAACTTCACTATGACTTAAGTAATAGGTCTTATAGATATCTAAGTTTGAAGCTCTATCTGCTATCAGTCTATCGTGCTCAGTTAAGATTTTTAAATTTTCAAAATTAGGCCAATGTTTGGTCGTTGATTACGTTATTGGGAATCAAAATATTTTTAAACCCTCTAGAAAAATAGCAATTTGACAATATTTCAATTCAAATTCCACTCAATAGTGATAAAATTTAAAAATTGAAAGTAGTTTAAAAGGTGCTTGGCCGGATATCATAGCATAACAATAATTTCGGCTCATCATGATAGCATGATCAGGGTAGCATGAAACGTATTTTCAAAGTATAGTGTTTGGGAGGCTGAAAACGAATTAGAATTCATCGAAGTAACTAGACTGTGCACTCTTTGCCCACATCTGAAAGGGGGAGGCCACTGTCTCAAGTAAAGGAGGGAGGTTCCTGGACCCCGAAACCCACCACTGTTCCAGTACTTTCAGAGGTACATAATGTGGCAGGAAACCAGGGCTCATGCTGCCGTTGAGCTAAAGCAGTTGAAGGAATAGTGGCTTCTCTGGGATCTAACTCATGCTAATGCAGCTCAAAACAATTATGTCCTGATGTAATGGTCACTGGCGTAACGCTATGTGGGGCAATGCACCTTGGGGGCAGCATTTTCCCAAATTTCGTTGTTTGAAAAAAATATCATTTAAATGGCGAGGGGTCTAGAATGAAATTCGCAAATTAATCGATTTATAACCATTGATACAAAGGCCATAATCTTTCACCAGCTCTCCAATATCCCCCTTGAAGCTGCATTTTATATCCTTGAACTACACAATATAAACTAAAGTATGTTTTAGTGTAGACTTTTTGTCACAACAAGACTGCAACCTATAGTAACAACTATAAACAGAACCCCTTATGTCTGCTAACAATTTTCTTCTAGTCCTAATATAATGAGCCTTGTTTCTAAAAACTAAACTGAACTAGCATTTCGGTGTGTGCAAAAGCTTTCAGATGCGCATTCCTTGCCCCGTTAGTTACCTGTCCTTCCAAAACCAAACTAGCAGTCAAGGACAAAAAGTCATACATCTTTTTATTCTGTAAAATGTGCTAAAATTAAATTTGTTGTTTCATTGAATGATAGCCATCTTACTATATACAGGGTGGGCCAAAAGTCAGTGTGCAAACGTTGGGTCTTATACCTCCGCCGTGTTTTATATTTGAGAGCTGTTGCTTTGCAGATGGCATACTGTACTTACTGGTTCGAGGATTCCGTCGTCAAAATTTGAAAATTCGAATATTTTAGACCACGCCCATTCAATATTAAAACACCTATATTGTTTTCTCTGAACATGCTGAACGCCTAATTTTTTTAGAGACGGTAGATTATCAAATTTTGCATATGATCTGAAAACATGAGGCAAAACGGATTAGAAATGACGAAGTTATCAAGCATTTTGTGTATCTCGTTAACAAAATTGACAGGGTGATTATGTGACACCGTGACACGACACCTTAATTGGGCACCCTTAACAATTCCCATAATGTTTAACGGGGTAGTTAACGGGGTCACCTTATCACGTGATTAGGTAAACCAATCACCTGATCACACGTAATGAATAAACTTGTTATGCTTCATATCTCGGTCATCTGAGAAGCTACAGTTCTAATTCTTTCAGGACAAACGTAATTCGAATGGCCAAACACAATTCAATAACATTTAGCTTGATCCGACTATCCAAACTATCAAATAAATGTGAAAATGAACCTCCATTTTAAAAAAATGAACGCGAATATTTTTCGAGTTGACAAATTCCTCGAACCAGTGGTGGTATTAAGTCATACCAGAAGGAAGTATTTCAATTGGGCACTGAGTGACTGAGCTATTAAGGCCAACGTTTGCACACTGACTTTTGGCCCACCCTGTATAAAGCGAGACGATATATATATATATATATATATATATATATATATATTTATTTATCCGTGCCATTTTATTGACACCACAGCATCAACTTTAATGCGAATTTCTGCAAAAACCGTCAAAGATATACAACTGAAACTTTTTTGACTGGGTCAAATGCTTTAATGGCCTCCAAATAAGCATGAAAAAATAAAAAATTGGCCAAGAAATAGGAGTTTTAGAGCCCAAAATTTGGTACCCCAAGTGGTGTCAAAAACGCGAATTAAATAGGTAATAATTGTTTTAGTCTCTTGAGTCTTGACACCATTTTGGGGTTAGACGGGTTCCTGCTAGTCTATATAAATGATAGCCATCTATAAAGCTTTGATAAGACCTCATCTAGAGTATTGTGTCCAATTGTGGAATCCAGTTGCGGCTCATGGAAATTGGGGTACTGTTTTGGAGCTGGAGAGCGTCCAGAGGCGGTTTACCCGTCTGATTGATGAGGTGGGTACTCTTCCTTACAGCCGTAGACTGAAAATCCTTAATTTGACAACGTTGGCAGAGCGGCGAATACATGGGGACCTTATTGAAGCTTTTAAGGTTATTAATGGTTTGACCGATTATGGTTCAGACTTGTTCAGACCAAGCAGATCAGGTCTTAATCTGGTTTACTCCAATAGATGTAGTAAGAGTGTGACAAAGGTCAAGAATCTTCAGTGTTCTTTTCTTCCAGAGCGGGTTGTTCCTTATTGGAACAAACTCCCTTCGGAGGTGAAGAACTGCTTGACAGTTTTGAGTTTTAAAATTGGATTGGAAAGTTTTAAAACGAATATGATTTCTAAATGTATTGTAAATGACTTTCATTTCTGGAATGTTTCGAAAGAAGTTTTAACAAGAATTGAAGGTACCAGTTATATCAGTAATAAGGAAAAACACAAGGAATATCTGTGGTTTCATCCTTATGTAGCAAAGAAACGTTTTATAAATCTGTACTCCACTGGGAAGTATGAATAAATTAAATATTTTGAATGTTGTTTTTATTCATGATTAATATTTGATAAATTATTACCTTTAAATTTTATGGAGAAATAGTTATTTTTCCATGTAGTGTGATGATACTTTGTAGACATTAGTGATGATGTTATGTCATAATTTTTACTTTACTTTACTTTACTTTGAAAAATTTCTTGTTTCATTGATTGTGACACTATCTAAGTTAGTTAAACATTAAACAAACATACTACATAATAAATTGCATTAGGATTACTTTAAATATCAAATTTATTTGTTTAACACAGATCTACAAGGTAATTCCTAAATGCCCCTTTAATTAATTGAGGGATATAACCGACTTTTTGCAGTCTGTACACAATGTCTGTATCCACCATAATTGAGGATTTAATAAAGTGTTACGACCCTTCAAGCGGGAAGATTGACGATCTCCAATTAGCAGTCTCTAATCTACCAATACAAGGTTTGACTTGAAAAACATTAAAAAAAACCGAGTTATAGATACAGATTAACAGATATAATAGTGAAGAATAGTATGATCATGGGCACAGAGGCAGCTCGTGCTTTTTGACAATTAAGTTTCATTATTGTTTGTCATAAAAACTGTAATCGTGAGAGCCTAGTCATTAGCCTAGTCTAACAATTTTATTTTGCACAGATGACATAGTTAATGTGGAGCTCGCAACCAAACTATGGAACTTCACAACCAGGCTGACTGTTGGGAAAGCGGTCGAGACGACCTTGCAATTGGTATTAAAAGTTGATTTCGTTTTCACTATCATGTTATCATGGTTATCGTATCATTATGATTGCATATCTTTAACACACTCAAGTTGTCTATAAGGTGCAGTGACTGCAATCTGATCAATCATAGTACACTGTACAGTCAATCCTTACTCTGCCTCAACATTCCACAAAAGTGGGCATAGATTTATTAAGAACCTGCTGGTTTCAGTAGTAAATGATGTAAATCATCATAAATCATAGTGATTACAATCTTTACTGTATCAATCCCGGTTAAAGCAAATCTTGTAAACCGAGACTAATTCTTGATTTAATGATCTGTATTATATTTATCAGCAAGAGTACGACACCAAGCATCGCTTGTCGTCATGAAGGGCGGAAATTATAATCTTGCAGTGACAATGGCTCTCAAAGCTGCAGTATCTTGGGCTCGAGCAGGTATTTGTTTCTCCTTCTTGAAAGTAACTCTGCGTCCCAAGTTACCACTAGTTACCACTATTTACCACTATTTACCACTATTTACCACTATTTACCACTATTTACCACTAGTTTCCACTAGTTACCACTAGTTACCACCAGTTATCGCTAGTTACCACTAGTTACCACTTAGTTACTCATATCTCTTTTACAGACTTTTTTACAAGGACATTAACAGATGATACTCACATTAGGCATTCATTATTGCATCTAAATTATTTCACTTGCATTAGGTTTAGAAATTTATTCTCTGGTTAACAGATTTCAAATGTTTAATTAATTTGTAGTATGACAGTAAGGTATATAAGAAGTTATTTAATTTTGCTTGGGCTATTATATTGACTATTGAGGTTTAATGATGATATGGAATTTGAATTCTATATAAATTTACACTATGTGGTTGGGGCATTTTGCATAGTAAATATGGTTACTACTCCTATATATCATATTATTTGATTGGTATTCGATTTCTGATTATTTCTCTAGGAATATGATTATTATATCTCAATTTGGCTTTAGGTAGGGTGCCCCGCTAAAAGAACTGGATTCTTCCAGGAAGCATCCCGTGCACAGACCTTGGTCTACATATATATTAAATTATTAACCATTCATTCTGTATGTGCACGAAAATTTATTTCAATCAAGTTACCACAGCTACAGCAACAAGTTACCTCAATAAATGAAACGTCTGCTGGAGCACTATTCATATTATTATAATGTTTAAAAGCAAAATAGAAATAACTTCAAGGTGAAATAGTTGAAGGCTATCAGATCTTAAAAGAAGTTGAGGAAAACATCCCCACTGAGCGTACACTGGAATTCCTGTCAATCAAAGCCCAGGTTTCATTAATTAATATATGCCTACCTGTAGTAAGCTCTGGACTTTATCATATCATTTCAAATATATAAGTACACATTTACATTTTGGACAACAAATTAAAAACACTGCACTAACGAGAATTTATCTTAATATGTTTGTTTGGCATCAATTGTTTCACCACTGCTAGAAGTTTAGTATGTAAATATTTTAACTAATTTCTAATTATATAGTTACTTAAATACTCTTCAGTTGGCGTGTTTTGAAGGTGATTTGGAAAAGGCAGAGAAGCTTCTTCACTCTATCTCTGAACAAAGCAAAGAAATTGCTTCTGCTACATGTTGGGAAATAGCTATTAACTTTTACAAAGAGGTAATAGTTTGCAATGTTTTAAAGTTTTGAACTTCTTGTTGGCTTGATAACTGACCAAATAAAACAGCTTATTTAATGAGTAGTAGTTTCTGTTTACAATTGTATTGAAACATTAATACGGAACAACAATATTAGGCAAGTAATTAGCTATAGCAGTTCATATCTTATGCTAAATTTTCAACAAAAAATCTAAATATGATAACAAAAGTCTCTGTTGTGGATAACGAGAGTAACTAAGCATCAGGATGACACTGATCCCAGACCAGGCAAGCAACATTGCTCAACAGACCGAACAGGAACTCCATCGGGCCGGCCACCTTCTGATGGTCAATGTGTCGGCCAGCTTTTACCTCAAACTCCAGTCCTCCAAACTCGAAATGTACGGAAGTTTTGTTCTGGCTTCCATGACAGTGGGGATTCAGTTCATCTTCTCCCTCTGTAAATATAGTATTGAACTGTGGACTCTATTCTCGTGTGAAAATTCTTTAATAGAACATTTTTGAGGGCCTAGATGTTTAAGAAGCGAGAGGAGCAATACAGTTAGGTGGTAAATAAGATAATTACCACCTAATACAGTTTTAAACTGCTAATCTTTACCACCTAACATTCATTTAAGAGACCTGAAATGACCTAGAACTTGACTTCAGATCAGCCTAAAGTTTCATTACGATAATTCGGATAGCTGATAAATAATAAGAAGTTTTAAGACATTTTAAGACATTTTAAGACATTTCAAGATGCTGAAAGGGCCCATTTTTCTATTCCCTAAGAAGAATACTAAAATTACCTGGACAATCATAAACATGATCACAGATCTGGTGCATTGTAACACAAATGGTTCTATCAGATGGGCAGGCGTGCTCTCCACGTGGACAGCTGGAGGAGGGGGCGGAGGGAAAGTCAGAGGGCTGGTCAGTGTACCAGCCTGAGTCAGTTCCATTTTCTGTTTCATTACAGTTCAACTCATCAATACCTGTGTTGCAGTCAGCGTAGCCGTCACACAACCCACTCATGGGGATACAACTGGTGGAGTTACACGCGAACTCATCTGCAATACATAACGTAACACTTGCACTAACCAGTAGTCAACAGAGAGTACTGGCCACTGGGAAATACCTTGTTTTGGCCGGAGCTGGGATTTGGAGTGGTTTGGATTTTTAAATTAAAAATATTTCACATTTAAAAATACGTGTCCTCTTTAAATAACAACAAAATTTCATACCATACTGGCAGGAGACGTCTGTTCCGTTGTTGTTGTCTGTACCGTTATTGTGAGAACAGTTCAGTTCATCGTCACCATAGGGACAGTCATCGTAGTTATCACAAACCCAATAATCGAAGATGCACGTAGAGGAGGATTCGCAGGCGTACTGATCTGAAACACAGAACTAGGTTACTAGGTAACTAGGTTACAAGGTTACAAGGTTACTAGGTAACTAGGTTACTAGGTTACTAGGTTGATAGGTTACTAGGTTACTAGGTTACTAGGTTACTAGGTTACTAGGTTACTAGGTTACTAGGTTACTAGGTTACTAGGTAACTAGGTTACTAGGTTACTAGGTTACTAGGTTACTATGTTACTAGGTTACTAGGTTACTAGGTTACTAGGCTACTAGGTTACTAGATTACTAGGTTACTAGGTTACTAGGTTACTAGATTACTAGGTTACTAGGTTACTAGGTTACTAGTTTACTAGGTTACTAGGTTACTAGGTTACTAGGTTACTAGGTTACTAGGCTACTAGATTACTAGGTTACTAGGTTACTAGGTTACTAGGTTACTAGGTTACTAACTGGTGCACTGCTTGCATAATAATTCAATAAAATTATTTGATCAATTTAAAAAACTTACTTCCTGTACAGTTAGTGGCAGTGCCGTTATGTGAGCCGTCTGTTCCGTTGTTGTTGTCTGTACTGTTATTGTTAGAACAGTTCAGTTCATCGTCACCCTGAGGACAGTCAGCTTCATTGTCACAAACCCAATGCTCGAAGATGCACATAGAGGAGGATTCGCAGGCGTACTGATCTGAAACACAGTTAGTTTCTAGGTTACTAGCTGGTTACTAGGTTACTTCCTGGTTACTAGGTTACTCGCTGGTTACTAGGTTACGAGGTTACTAGGTTACTTCCTGGTTACTAGGTTACTAGGTTACGAGGTAAATAGGTTACTAGGTAACTAGGTAACTGGGTTACTAGGTTACTAGGTTACTAGGTTACTAGGTTACTAGGTTACTAGGTTACTAGGTTACTAGGTTACTAAGTTAACTAGGTTACTAGGTTACTAGGTTACTATGTTACTAGGTTACTATGTTACTAGGTTACTAGGTTACTAGGTTACTAGGTTACTAGGTTACTAGGTTACTATGTTACTAGGTAACTAGGTAACTAGGTAACTGGGTTACTAGGTTACTAGGTTACTAGGTTACTAGGTTACTAGGTTACTAGGTTACTAGGTTACTATGTTACTAGGTTACTAGGTTACTAGGTTACTAGGTTACTAGGTTACTAGGTTACTAGGTTACTAACTGGTGCACTGCTTGCATAATTATTCAATAAAATTATTTGATCACTTTAAAAAAACTTACTTCCTGTACAGTTAGTGGCAGTGCCGTTATGTGAGCCGTTGTGGGAGCCGTTATGTGAGCCGTTATGTGAGCCGTTATGTGAGCCGTTATGTGAGCCGTTATGTGAGCCGTTATGGTGGCCGCCGTGTCCTTCTTCTTGGAACTGTGCCAGAGTTGTGGCCAGGATAATACCACCGATGATTTGTAGCAACAACATATCTGTAATTTGATTGTTATAACCTGATGGGGTGAATATAAGTTGGAACGATTAATTAATTAGGTAGGTTTTTAGCTTTATGGTGTTTGACATAGAAACTTCAAACACCCCAGAATGCAAAGCACACTTGTTTATTTAAACATTTAAAAATGAGAAATCTCTTTTATGCAAAACAGGACTAAGTCTAAATACAGCATTTTAACTATTATTTGATCTGGTATCAGCAGGTATGCAATGGATTCAGGATCAAGAGAGTATTCAAAATGCACGATATACATTATACTATCTGAATGAGATATTCAGTAGAATAGTTCGATGTTTTTGAGTACGTATAAGATAGAAGTTTAAAATTACAAAATTTCCAAAAAGTTAAAATATAGAAAATAAACTTAACCATTATTAGTTTGTTTAAGTAGAATTTCAGGAATGCCCAATCCAATGTGGTTCTCTGAACGGGACCTGTTGTCCCACATTCCATGCGGCTAAAACACCAATTTTATTATTGGTGTTTAACAATAGATCTCTTTCACAACTTATCTCCAGTCCTTTGACTCCGATCACGTGATTCCAACATTGAACACGTGACTCCAGTATTGATCACGTGACTGCAGTATTGCTCGTATCACCCTCTCTTTAGGCAGGGAGTTGCTTCAACTCTTTAAGACTTAGTTTCATGAGGTTATATATATATTGCACGTACAAAAGCTAACTACAATAACGTGGAGGTTAGACGTGTTCATTGTTCAACATAGGCTTACCGTGGGGGTGTAACCAGGGATAATAACCACTAAGTACTAACCAATAGTTCAAGGGGGCTATATTTATGAGTCGCATTTGAACTTGATTTCTCTTGGAGAATTTCTCTTTAGACTCTTAACTTGCGAACAAATTGAAGCAGCAAACTTTAGGCTAGAAACTTTATTGAATTGAAATAATCATTCAATGGTTGTAGACCATCCCCTCCTGTAGCGATTATTAGAATGTGGAAATTCGAGCGTAATAGTATATATTTAGACAGTTATTACATCAGTAACCCTGTTCGGTTCTTATACAAACGGTATGTAGATGATGCTGGTTCCTTAGCCAAATCCAGAGAAGAAGCACTGGATATGTTACAACGCATAGCCGACCAGGATCCCGATAACAGAATTAAGTGGGAGATCGAGTTCCCGTCTACCCCTGCGGATTTTGTCCCGTTCCTGAGTACGGAAATCCGGATCGATGAGGAAGGAAAAGTGCACCACAGATTCTACAGGAAAACCCAGAACAAGGGGATAACATTACACCAGAAGTCACACCACCCGGACTCAGTGAAGGAGGAGTGTAAGAAGAACTTCTACCGTAATGCCACCATTGCTTCCTCAGGACCCCAGGAACTCGATCATTCAGTTAAGATCATCGATCATCTCTTAAAGAAAAATGGACACCAACCTCTGAGTCATAACGCAAGGAACAGGAGGACTAGGAGAAGACGTCAAACCACACCTGACTCTGTCCCACTCACCTTACCATTCATCTCTGGAACAGTGTGTAATAAGATTCGCAACTACATCAAATCTAACAAACTCCCCATCAGAGTTATTTTTACACCTGGTAAGAAGTTACAGGACATCTTCTGCCGCTCTCGTCCACTGGATAAGAAGACTTGTGACCTTGGTAACCCTAACAATTGTGAGATCTGCCCTAGACTCACAGGAACAACATGCTCAACAAAAGGAGCTATTTACTTAGTTACTTGCGAGTTATGTGGTAAGAGATACTGTGGGGAAACTGAGAGAAGCCTCCATGCTCGTCTGATGGAGCACAGACAGGCTGCTAGGAATCCTAGAGCACATCCAGAGAATGGGGTTGGACAGCACTACGCATCTCTACATCCTAACCGAACCCCAGTTTTATCTTTTAAGTTACTTGATTTACAGAGTAAAACTGTTCGTAGAAAGATTGTAGAAGCGATGTATATATTGAGATTAAGTCCTGAAATGAATGATCGTTCTGAGTTGAGTTATTTGTACAAATATTTAGTCGATGTTTAACTAGTAAATAATGTATTGATAGGACTATCTTGGATAGTAACCATGACAACCGAGTTATCGTTGCTTAAGTGCTGATTTTATCATTAGTTTTTACACATGAACTGTGAATTCTGAACAACCAGTTTTACGTTTACTAATTAGTTTAGTATCATGAGTAGTACAGTATTTAGTTGTATTAGCTTACATTTCTTCTTGTCGTATTTTTTGTTGTTTTGACATTTTTTGCAATTACATTTTTTGGGTCATATTTCGTAAATTTTATTTCTCTGTTTTTGTTTTAATGTTATTTTAAATTTCTTTCCGTCGTTAATTTTTACACATGTTTAACAATTTTATTACAGAACTGAAGAAGACGTTGTTACGTGGAATGATTATTTCAATTCAATAAAGTTTCTAGCCTAAAGTTTGCTGCTTCAATTTGTTCGCAAGTTAAGAGTCTAAAGAGAAATTCTCCAAGAGAAATCAAGTACTAACCAAGGGTAATAACTTGTAGAGCTTTAAAAGTTACCTTACATACCTGTGAGAAGGTGAGATCATCACACCTGTGAGAAGGTGAGATCATCACACCTGTTCAGCTATGAGTGATGTCTGTCCAACAGTGGGAGGGATAGATTTGCTAGAAGATGATATTATTGAGAAAGTGGTTCAACTTAATTGTAGCAGACGGGTTACTCACAATTGATACATCTAGTTAATGTGCCCACGTGCTGACCTTGTTGTGCCCACGTGGTGACTTTGTTGTGCCCACGTGACCAGCAGCTATCTGATATATCTCCACATAACAATGGCCTAGATGCTCTTTGATAAGTTCAAACAGTGCGACCCAGACTAAAAGAACTTGTGGAACCTTAAAGGGCGACTGTACTGGCGTTTGCAGTGTCTTTTTAATATAATCATCTGTGATTATCATGGAATATCAAGCATTAACAAATATCAAAATATAAATGTTTAAAAAATATAAGCTTAGATATAAGCTTAAAGGAGTCAAAGTTTGTTTCTAGCTGGTTTTATCTCTTCCAGGGGTATGAAGAACAGACACTGAAACATGAATTAATTACAACCTGAAACTGAGAATAACATGAAGCATCTTCTATAAGTTCATGGTTTCTTAGTTTTAAATTAGCATTTATTAGCATTAATTGTTTACTAATTTTAACCTCCTTTTGAAGTGCTTATTCGTCTCAGGAGAAATTGACTAATACACGCTACGCTGTGGAAAGGGCGATCAAGTTCGGCAAAGGAATCTTACCAAACGTCAAGGTGAGAATAACTTAATAAAGGTGAGAATAACATAATCAAGGTGAGAATAACTTAACCAATGCACTGAGAATAACTTAATCAATGCACTGAGAATAACTTAATCAATGCACTGAGAATAACTTAATCAAGGTGAAAATGACTTAATCAAGGTGAGAATGACTTAATCAAGGTGAGAATAACTTAATCTAGGTAAGAATAACTTAATCAAGGTGAGAATAACTTTATCAATGCACTGAGAATAACTTAATCAAGGTGAGAATGACTTAATCAAGGTGAGAATAAAATAATCAAGGTGAGAATAACTTAATCAAGCTGAGAATAAATTAATCAAGGTGAGAATAACTTAATCAATGCACTGAGAATAACTTAATCAATGCACTGAGAATAACTTAATCAAGGTGAGAATGACTTAATCAAAGTGAGAATGACTTAATCAAGGTGAGAATAACTTAATCAAGGTAAGAATAACTTAATCAAGGTGAGAATAACTTAATCAAGCTGAGAATAAATTAATCAAGGTGAGAATAACTTAACCAATGCACTGAGAATAACTTAATCAATGCACTGAGAATAACTTAATCAATGCACTGAGAATAACTTAATCAAGGTGAGAATGACTTAATCAAGGTGAGAATGACTTAATCAAGGTGAGAATAACTTAATCAATGTGAGAATAACTTAATCAATGTGAGAATAACTTAATCAAGGTGAGAATAACTTAATCAAGGTGAGAATGACTTATCGCTGTTAAAACTTACAGTTACGCACACTCCTGAGAGAGGTAGCTTCTTCGTTTTTTGATCGTATGAGAAGGGGCGAAAAGGGGCCAACTTTGTTGGCCTCATAATTTGGCCTATCCTGTCTAACTGCAGTCTAACTGCACGATAGTTGCCGATTTATAAAATTCATATAACATTGCTGGTTACTCTTCTGTGCCGTGTTCAGTATTTTCAAGTAAATTAGCAGGACACAATCCAGTTGTGAGCTGGCATGAACCAGAAATCTGATAATTTATAGTACATAATATTCTGATATTACACGTCAGAATTCATCAGAAGTTCAGGAACCTAGCGATTATAAAATTCAGATAACATTGCTGGTTACTCTTCTGTGCCGTGTTCAGTATTTTCAAGTAAATTATCAGGACACAGTTTGCCCCTTGTAGTCCAAATTTACATTCCTCATTGCTAGAATTCATTCCTTAAAACAAATTTGTCCAAAAATTGTTCCAGATTCTCCCTTCTTGCATTTTGCACCCTTTTTGAGAGTGAGACCTATTACTGTAAGCATGAGCATATTTTTCAAAATTTGCAGGACTTTTCCGAGCGTGCTAAATCACTCTACTCAATCTTCGAGATTGTTCTAAAAGGGCCCCGACAATCGATGTATTTTCGGACGCTGATTCCGAATCAACCCCCATGACATAGGGTAAAAAATGCTCCCCTGACGAGATATTGGCGAAAAACTGTCTCGATCACGTGATAAGACCGCATAAGGAAGTTAGTCTAATTTCTCGTTAAAGGGTTACCGTTATATTAGGGTTTCAGCATATAATGCTTTTGTTAAGGATTGGGTTCGGGTTAGGGTTGGGATCAGATTAAAGGGTTAGGGTTTCGAATATCGAATAGTCGTCCAGGACCAGCTAGAGAACGGGTTGAAAAAGTCACATGACAAACGAGTGTAGAGTGATTAATCATTATCCGGACTTTTCCTTTGACCCTTAAATTGGCACAACAAAATCTTGCTGGATCTATCATTTGACATTGATTTATTTCAATTCTAGAAGCAAATTTCCTGAAATTTTTGTCGAGAGAATACAATATGCATCCCTTTTTCGAACTACACATATTTTGCTAGAGCTGCTTGTAGGCCCTAATATGCATTTAAAAGCGTATTATTTTAATCGCTCTTAAAACTGCGTTTGAAAATGATCTCTATTGCCAAATTGCTAAGCTAGGCCTTTTACACGTTTTGCTGTTTTTGAAATTCAGGCTGTGGCCAAAGCGCGTGCTAAATTTGAAAAACTCTAAGATTTTGGCCCCCTCAGGAAGAAAATCATTCCTACACCCCTGTTAATTTCTCTTCATCGTATAGCTCTGTTATTCTGTAGAAATCATGGATTTTATTTGACACTGACAAAAAAGTTGTAAGTATTCAGATTCCCTAAACGATACTTTCTACTGCATCGAAAAATATCAATCACAACCAAAGGTATGAATATAGTCATAGCGTGAGCGTAAACGTGAGCTAGTTATGAAGTTATGACGTATCATAAAGCATAGCAACGCGCGTTGCTAATCTGTTCTTGCTCGTGCACATGCAATCTCTTGATGTTGCTAAGGGTGCTAAGCAACGACGCAGGTAATCTTTGATGAAACGCCATTATTCTAACGTTTATTTTACCTCACTTCCGACGTTAAGTATTATAGAAAATCTAAAGCCTTAATCAAAATTCTAAGAATTCCTATCCTTTTTTTACAACCCTGCTAAAAATGGCGAGGTTTCAACTCCATTTTCAGGCTGAAATTGGCCACGCCAGAGGGTCAGTTTTTTGTCGATTTTCAGTGTTTTTTTATACAGAACCCATATATTACTGTGGAATGGACTCCCTTTACATATACAGGTAATTCAGATTGTGTCTACTAGTACTAATCCTTTTAAATTTGAGGTCACTAAGCATCTATGGAAATGTTTATTGGATAGTGAATAGAACAGTCTAGCCTAATCTCCTTGCTCCCCATATTTTTTTCTATCTACCTTCCTATACTTCCAACATCATATCACACTTCCCCCACACATGACACCTTTTCGCTGCATTCACATTAATGACCATATCAGACTTGTTTCTAATGTATCTGAAATTTGACTATTGAAATACCGATTTTATCTATGTATCTGCAGTTATTCACCATTGATTTGTTTGATCTTAAATAGTTTTTCATAAGTTTTGATGGATTTAGATTAATTTGATGTATTGGGTCCCAGTAATTGCGGACATAGTCATAGTTCACTATGTGTTTACCGTGTTTGGGTGCCATATGGAGGCAATATTTTGAACGATTCTATTTTACATGTCCCCGTTGCCGGGGGGATTTCGTCAAATGAAAAATATAATTATATAGATAAAATATACATCGAAAAGTCACGTGTAAGACTTTGGACCGATTAATTAACAATAATAATAATTGGCCGGGAATACCATCTCGTTTCCCTGGGAATTATGTGGCCTTTAATACTAACTCCATAGTTTACTTGATGCAACTCATACAATTCGCTGGGTGGTGATCACAAAATAATACACAACTTCTGTAAACTGCAATTGCAGAATATTTTATATTTTATTTTATTAAATCATACTGAATACTATTCAATACTGAATCATATATACTGTCTTGTATACTATCTTTTACCATTACGTCTAATTATAAATAGTCAATTATAAGTTGGTCATTAGGGGGGGGGGGGGGGGGGGACATGATCCCCCATTACTATTTATCGGTTTCTTATCATTAACTGATCAATTGCAACAAAAATCAATAACTTTTATTAAATTTGTATCTATCCCGCACTATTGTTAATATTTTATTATGTTAAGTAGCCACTGTCCATCGTTTACTGATTATGCCGATTGAAAATCGCACTAAATACAAAATGTTCAGGTTCTCAAAGCAACAGGGGATTTGTAAATATGATTTGCGGAGTTTGTTCCCACCACATATTCATCTTTGTGTACATCAATCTGCATCAGTCTGCCTTAACCCATCTGCTTCCTGTTGGATTAGTGGAGCTAACTCCTTCCTTCTCGATAGTATATTTCATCTGCAGCGTTGACCCCGACAACAATGTCGGATCCTGATGAAACCCACTTGAGCTTCCCAGAAACGTTTACCCTAGTGGCTCCCCGTTGTATCCACATCTCCATATGTCCCTGCGCGGTAGTAAATATCGTGGTTTTCATTGACAACCCACACCCCTGCTTCTCCAACACTGATCTGGATGGCTCTTCCTCCGACATGTTGCCACTTGTTTCCGCTCTTTGAATACCTGAAGATAAGCTGATTTCTGTTGACTCCCCAAACATTGTCTTTGTCACTGACGTCAACATTGGTTAGAGCACCCGAAATTCTCTTCCACTGGTTGTTACCTAGGTATGTATAAATCTCATCCACGCTTATTTACTCCCCAGACTGATTTTCCTGACGATACTTGTACCAATCCTCCAGAGATTCTAGTCCAGGTCCGTTCGTTCGAGTTTAGTTGATAGATGTGACCATTGCTGTTGACACCCCAGACCCCTGAATCGCCTTTAGATATCCTAGTGAGTCCACCTGGTACCCTTTCCCAACTCGCAGTTATTTGCAATTGGTCAGATTTTTTTTTCAACAGGAGATTTGTAGATATGGTGAGCACTATTTGTCCCAACGACCTGGTCCTCGGAAATGTCAATCTGCATCAGTCTGCCGGGAACCTTAACCCATCTGCTTCCTGTTGGATTAGTGGAGCTAACTCCTTCTCGATAGTATATTTCATCTGCAGCGTTGACCCCGACAACAATGTCGGATCCTGATGAAACCCACTTGAGCTTCCCAGAAACGTTTACCCAGTGGCTCCCCGTTGTATCCACATCTCCATATGTCCCTGCGCGGTAGTAAATATCGTGGTTTTCATTGACAACCCACACCCCTGCTTCTCCAACACTGATCTGGATGGCTCTTCCTCCGACATGTTGCCACTTGTTTCCGCTCTTTGAATACCTGAAGATAAGCTGATTTCTGTTGACTCCCCAAACATTGTCTTTGTCACTGACATCAACATTGGTTAGAGCACCCGAAATTCTCTTCCACTGGTTGTTGCCTAGGTATGTATAAATCTCATCCACGCTGTTTACTCCCCAGACTGATTTTCCTGACGATACTTGTACCAATCCTCCAGAGATTCTAGTCCAGGTCCGTTCGTTCGAGTTTAGTTGATAGATGTGACCATTGCTGTTGACACCCCAG